ATTATGAATATGAGATCAGGTCATACAGCCTGACCAACGCTTCTTCTGAATTCCAGTGATTCATGAACAACTTGTTCGGGGGGAATTACGTCATCTACATTAACAACATCCTCATTGAATCCTGGAATGAGACAATGTCAACATATGGAGCTTATACTGGGAAAGCTGTGGGAGCATTCTGTGTTTCCTTAAACTGGAGAAGTGTGAGCCCCCTCAGCCATCCATGCAGTTTTTCAGATATAACATCAGTCCAGAGGGGTACAAATGGACCAGGGGAAGGCCCAAGCCATTGCATTTTCCACTTGGTTTGCAACTTGTATCACTCTAAAACGATCCCTTATTAAAACTGTTTAATAAAAGACAAACTCTACAACCGTATTATCACATTTTAGGCCTTTGTCAAAGATACTTGGAAGAAAATAACATATTTGAATTATTACATTCTGGTTTTAGAAAATATCATACTACTGAGACTGAGTTGGTAACAGTCCTAAATGATGTGTTTCTGACTACTGACACTGATTACCCCATAGTTATTGTTCTTTTAGATCTTAGTTCTGCTTTCAAAACAATGAATCATAACATTTGTATTGCTCAATTAGAGAAGTGTGTTGGTATGAGAATAAAAGCAGAAGCTTCTCTATAACGTTTGGAGAATGCTCCTCAAACTCAGCTCTGCTGATGTGTGGTGTCCCGCAAGGATCGATTCTTGCCCCTTTTCTGTTTTGTTATTTTCATCATGCCTTTGCTCCCTTCTTTTTATGTTGCTTTTCAGTTTCATTGACTTTTGGGACAAAGTGTGTCCTTCAGAAATGTAAGAGCTGATGCATGGGCTGTACCGGTATTTGGAAGAGTGAAGAAAACTCTTTGTGCTTGTGTTTTAAAGCAGTGAAGCGTGCATTCCTCCTCTCCATGCATTGCCAACAGGTAGTTTTCAGTCATTTGTGTCCATGTTCCAAACAGAACTGCAGGTTCACAAGGACATTGTTTGTATGTATGAGAAAGATGAACTGCCATGATCATAACCAGTCTGTTGTGTAGTCAATGTAAATCAGCAGAGATCGCCCACAGATGATGCTTATGTCAAACATGGCAAACAAACTTACTCTCTCCCAACACGTCTATTCCCCAACATAATACAACTCCCCCTAGTGGGCATTTCCCAATCTAATTCATGTTTTGAGTTAACATTTAGCTTTACTAGGTTAAACAATTGCACAACATGCAAGCTTCAGAGTCAGTCTCTTTGAATGACAAAGTTCTGTATGAAGGTTAGTGACACTAGAATGTCCAGAGTGAGCAGCGATCAATGAATCTTTAATGATTCTCTTGTCAAATTTATTGCTGTAGTTTATAATGTCTGAATAAAAAAGGGAGAGGCAAAAGTGAGGAAAATTCCACTCTTTTCTTTATTAGCAGACACTGCAACATCAGAGAGCGTACATAACAACCTGCAGACTTCAACACGTCAATCACATGGTAAAAAATAAAAAACAATTTGCATGAAAAAAATCATATTTAATAAGCTGCCATTTTTAATTTTTAGATTTTTTTTTAAAGATACAGTGAAATATATCAGCTCTCTCAAATCTCTTCTTGAAGGTTATGATACCCACCTCCCCCCATTAAGAATAATACACCAAAATCTAGGACAAATGTCTAAATAGCAAAGAAAATATACAAAGTAAAAAAAAGTAAACTTCCCCCAGCCATTTATAACCACTTTTTAAAACCTTAAAAACAAGTGTGAGGAAGGAGGATGAAGAGCATGCGGAAACACTTTAAGAAAACACTCCAAACTCTAGAGGCAGATATGATTTTTCTAGACCAAATAAGTTATCAATAACAATAAATGGCATTTAAAAATACCTTTAGTGTGGCATTCTTGCAGAAACAATCGCTGCAGATCTACAGGGTGCTCAGCATTTAGCTTCATTTTGTGCTAAAAAACCTGTGCTGATACTTATAAAACCATTGATAAAAATATTTCTCTGTGAACAATATGCC